TCAATTAACTGTTTAGTGAAATTCCTTGAGAAAACCGGGTTGTGGTTTTGGACTCAAGAAGAATTTAACAGTTGTTAAAGTAGAATTGTAATCAGTTTGATTAGTGAATTAAGTCCTCGTTGGAGAGAGGCGAAATCACCTTGGCGGGTGGATTGGAGTATTCTGTGATCAAACGAACCAGGATAGAAATACTGTGTCATTATGCATTTGATTTCAAGTTTTCAATTCAACCCCCCTTCTTGTGTTTTTCACTTCTTCATTTGGTATCAAAGCACCTGGATCTAGGTGCAAACACTTAACCGTGTCAGATAAAGATCCAAGGGGGAAAAACACTATGATGGGAACAAGTCAGAACATCAGCAGCAGCCCTCCAATATTTGACGGTGAAAATTTTGACTACTGGAAGGATATGATCAGAAGTTTCTTCCTAGCCTATGATGCTGACCTCTGGGATGTGGTAACTGATGGATACATACATCCTATTGATGAAAGCGGTCAGAAGATTGACAGAAAAAGGATGAAAGATCATCAAAAGCAAGACTTCAGAAATCATCACAAGGCCAGAACGATTCTCTTGAGTGCCATCTCATATTCAGAGTATGAGAAGATCACAATATAGAAACAACTAAGAACATGTTTGATTCTCCGAGAATGACGCATGAAGGAAACATGCAAGTAAAAGAAACCAAAGCCCTTGCGCTCATTCAGAAGTATGAAGCCTTCAGCTGGACAAAGGGTACTCAACTGCTGATCACGTAAAGAAGATTATCAGAAGTTTACCAAAATAATGGAGACCAATGGTTACAACTCTCAAACTGGAAAAAGATCTGAACATAATATCTTTAGAAGAACTTGTCAGCTCCCTCAGAAGCCATGATATAGAGTTAGAAGATGATGAGCCTCAGAAGCAATGTAAGTCTCTCGCTCTGAAATCTAATAAATATGAAACCAAAATTTTGCAGGCAGAAGCAGAAGCAGAAAACTCTGGAGAATCCTTGTCAGAAGAAGACGAAATGTTCTCTCTATCCAGAAGAATCAATCATCTATGGAAGCACATGCAGAAGAATTTCAGAAACTCCAGAAGAACAAGAAATGACCCTGAACAATCCAATGGGTACAAAAAATCAAGTAATAGAATCATTACCTGCTATGAATGCAATAAACAAGGTCACTACAAAAGTGATTGTCCAAGGCTTCAGAAGGAGAAATATAAAAGGAAGTTTGTTAAGGAGAAGAATAAAAGTCTTATGGCAACATGGGATGATTCTGAATCTTCTGAAGACGAAACAGAATCAGAAGATGAACAAGCCAATATAGCTCAAACGGACAACTTATTAGATGTCTCCGAATCTTTTGAATCAGAATCAGGGTCAGAATCAAAATCAGATGCTGAAGAGGTATTTCCTAACTTTACTGTTAATTTTACTAAAGCTGAACTGCGAGAAAGTCTGAGTGAAATTCTGGAAAGATATCAGCAGCTTCAACTCAAATTCAGGAACCTGAAAAAGGATCTTGCTTATGACTCTGAAGAAACTGAGAGTCTGAGATTAGAAAAATCTAAGTTAAAAGAAAAGATTTCAAAACTAGAAAATTATTTACAAAACTCTCAGAAGGAAATAATCTTAGAGGATCCCAGTAATGCTGATAAGATCATAAAGGAATATGATCAAAGCTTTCAGAAGTTTCTGGCTAAAAACATAGATAGAAGCAAAATGGCTTCAATGATCTATGGAGTTAGCAGGAATGACAGAATAGGCATAGAATACAAAGGAAAAGTATCCCAACCTAAGAAATTTAAAGATCTGGTTATCAAACGCACTCCTCTCTATTATCACTTCACCACTGGGCAAACACATGATATAAAACATGCTGGTAAAGCGTTTTATACTAAACCAAAATTCAAACAAAATTTTGGAAACTCTAACAATCATGGACCCATAAAGATATGGGTACCAAAAGACAAAATCCTCTATGTTGCAGATATTTTCAATAGCAAGATTGAAACACCAGTATTAACACCTGGACTCTGGATGCTCTCTACACATGGAGGAAAGAAAGCATATGTTCCAAAGCCTAGAATTTAAAAGATTCGCAGGTTTCATAGGTAATCAGAAACAAAAGATTACTGGTTCTGAAACTATTTGAAACAGGAATGGAAATACAACATCAGAAGCTCTCTATAGAATCTCAGATGTATCTAGAAGAGGGTGTCACAACTTTTCAAGCAACTTCTGTCAGAGCAAGCCAAACAGAGTCTTTAACACTTTTTGATTCTTGACAAAAAGGGGGAGAATGAAGAATATTTTGACTCGTAATCAGAAGATCCTCATGGAAGTATTTTATTTTCTTGTTAGTTGGGTACTCTACTCAGGGGGAGCCTTCCTTTTAATTTTTGTTCTTTATATTCTACCAAAATATACTAGTTTTTGTCATCATCAAAAAGGGGGAGATTGTTAGAACATAATTTGGTTCTACATCCCAGTAAGAGTTTTGATGATAACAAACACATGATATAAAGAACAAATATGCTCGCTGATAAAAGTATGTTTACATGCAGTATGTTCTGATGTTAAAAATATGTTCTGATGCAATTGGAAGTTCTGCCAGAACATCACCAGAAGTTTTGATTATGACATCCCAGATGTTCTGATGTTAAAAAGATGTTCTGATGCAATTGGAAGTTCTGCCAGAACATCACCAGAAGTTCTGATTATGACATCCCAGATGTTCTGATGTTAAAAAGATGTTCTGATGCATTTGGAAGTTCTGCCAGAACATCACCAGAAGTTCTGATTATGCGAGCACAGAAGTTGAGAGGACAATGAAAGATTCAGACGCGTCAAATATGCATGACACACTTATATGAAGAAGTTCTGATTGAACTTCTGAATGCACCAGCACTGCGAAACAGAATCTCTGATACTCTGGTGTGCAAAATTCTAATCAAGCTGTAAAGAAGTCTCAACGATAATATTCATCCTCTGATGTGAGAAGCTCTGAAGCGTTACAATTCCATCAATGCAAGATCATAAGTAACGGCTACAAACAGACAAGGATCTCCTGATTTGGAAAGCTCATCAACTCGTGTTATGGACTTACCAAAAGTATCTTCTTATGTCTCTATTGCAAGGCCTATATAAAGCAGACTAGAAGAAGATTTCAAGATGATGAACAACTGGGCTCATAAAGAAAAACTCACGTGAAAAAGTAAACAACGCAACTTTCATTCTTCATCTTCAACGATTCAATGTTAAACTGTGTAATACATCACAAGTTTGTGATACTGTTTATTTAGAAACATCATTGTACACTTTTATTCAATTAACTGTTTAGTGAAATTCCTTGAGAAAACCGGGTTGTGGTTTTGGACTCAAGAAGACTTTAACAATTGTTAAAGTAGAATTATAATCAGTTTGATTAGTGAATTATGTTCTCGTTGGAGAGAGGCGAAATCATCTTGGCGGGTGGACTGGAGTAGTTTGAGATCAAACGAACCAGGATAAAAATACTGTGTCATTGTGCATTTGATTTCAAGTTTTCAATTCAACTCCCCTTCTTGTGTTTTTCACTTCTTCATTATAGATAATACTAGTATTGAAAAAGTCATAATTGATAGAATTGTCCATAGAACGTGAAGGAAAACCAAACTAAGGAGACATGTTGCCCATATGCTAATGGTTTAGATTAGTTTGTGTATGTTTTGTTTACATATTTATTTTTGGTTATATATAATTCATTATTTCCAATAAAAATTAAATAATTAATAATTAAAAGTGGATAAAAATTAGTAATAGATAATCAATCATATATCACAGCCGTCTGTCTAAATTAAATAATACTATACTAATGTTAAAAATGTAACTTTTTCACGATAATCTAAAAGTCAGTTGTCCAGGTTAAACACCACCTCAAATTTGACTTGTACAAAACAATTATAATAGTGTGGATACAAGAGAATGAATCTAAAAAACAAACTTTTTCTTGTAATAAGACTAGAGCAAATAAAATTCTACAATATTTTTCTGTGCACATGGAAGCATCATGTGTAAGCATCTTTCTAGCGATAAGCATCATGAATTTTAAAAGATTGTAGGATTATGGAAGTAACTTGAATTTTAAATAATTACTATATGATTGTGATAGTACATAAAAGAGTATATTTTTTTTACAAGCATCTTTCAGAATCATGTGCAAACAAGTGCATGTTTTAGTATGATTGTGATAATTAAAATAATTTTCTTTGAGTTATTCTAAAATTTTGATAATTTTTTTAAAAAAACTAAAAAATGCGAGTGAATTTTATAAGCCAAATTTATGAATTTAGTTCAAAAAATATTAAACTGACTAAAACTACCTGATTTATCTGTCAAACTAATTTAATTGAATATGTCAAAAATTAAAAATTTTATCGATTGAAATTAAACCTTTAGAATGAAACTGTAATTTATATCGGATTTAAATTTTGAGTCTGATATCGATCCAAACCGATCAATTATCCACCTCTAATTAAAAGAATCATCAATAAGCAATCTAATAAAAACATTATCCTCTTTATAATTGCTTCAATTAGTGTATTGAAAAAATACGTATTTAATTTGTTTTAGATATATGTATATTCGTTTTTTTTCGTATTTTTTTTGGGAAATAAATATATATCCTCTAACATATTTATTTTATCTATTTTTTTAGATATTTACGTATACGAATATTAATATAAATTTTTATAATATTTTACAATCGGATCATAGTTTTAAGATCGCATCCTACCCAATAGTTAACTTGTTCAATTCTATTTATTTGCGGATTTTTGCAAATAGGATCTAACGTGCATACGTATGTTTTCCACCCCCTAGATATATAAGATATTTATATAAGTTGTTTTGGATCTATCTAGAAATGTGATATTATTATGTTTTAGACAACGGGTTAATGTTGATCATTTTCCTATATATAATTAACCAATAACCATCATTCAAGACATATACCACCTTGCTTACTAAATGGATTTCGTTTTTGATTCTCTAGCTAATGCCATTGTATTGGCATTCTTTTCTATATTCATCCTTTACTATTTGTTCCTAAATAAATCTTCCAAATTAGTTTCTCATAGTAAAGAGGCTCCTATTGTTCAAGGTGCATGGCCAATACTTGGCCACCTCCCACTATTAAAGGCTTCACAAGGACCCCATAGAGTCTTAGGTGCATTGGCTGACAAATATGGACCCTTAATCAACATCAAGCTAGGTTCTAAACGTGTTTTAGTAATTAGCAATTGGGAAATGGCTAAGGAATGTTTCACCAAGATGGACTCGATAGTTTCAAATCGCCCTAAACTTGAATCAACTCAACATCTAGGTTACAATGGAGCCATGTTTTCGCTTTCACCCTATAATTCTTATTGGCGTCAAATAAGAAAGCTTGCAAACTCAGAGATCCTCAACCATCACCGCGTTGAGCAACTACAACCTTTTCGGGTCAAGGTAGTTAGGGCTTCCATAAAAGAGCTCTACAATGTTTGGTATAGTAATGAGAGTAAGTCTTCAGAATATGTGTTGGTGGAGTTGAAGGAATGGTTTACTCAATTGAGTACAAACATTGTTCTTCCGAGTTTGATTGGGAAGAAACGATATTTTAATACTACGAATGGGATTGACAAGGAAGAAGAACAAAAATTTATGATAGCTATGAAAGAATTGTTACGTTTGTTAGGCGTGTTCACAGTAGGAGATGCTATTCCTTTTTTAAAGTGGTTTGATATTGGTGGCCATGTGAAGGCCATGAAAAAAGCTTCTAAAGAATTGGACAACATTTTAGGTGAATTGTTGGAGAAGCGCCGTAGGAACAAGAGTTCGAATGATAATGAGATTGTTCGTGATAATCAAGATTTCATGGATGTGATGCTTTCATTGCTTGATGGAACAACAACAGAAGGATTTGAATCCGATACCATAATCAAAGCCACTACATTGGTATGTTTATGTATATGCCTTACTAAAATCTATTCAAATAATTTAAGATTACTTCAGTGTAGTGCTCTTTTCATTATAGAGAAGTTTCATCATTTATATTAGTTTAAATATTCTTATGGAATTTACATATCATCTACAGGCACTGATTGCGGGAGCAGTTGACACAACTAGTGTCACTGTTATATGGGCAATATGTTTGTTAGTAAATAATCCTCTTGCATTGGAAAAGGTAAAAGAAGAACTTAACACTCAAGTTGGCAAAGAGAGATGTGTAAAAGAGTCCGATATAGACAAATTGATCTACCTTCAAGCTATAGTCAAAGAAGCACTAAGGTTATACCCTGTTGCTCCTCTCTCAGGACCACGCGAATTTTCAGAGAATTGTAATTTAAGTGGTTTTGATGTCAAAAAAGGAACACGATTAATAATTAATCTTTGGAAGATCCATACTGATCCTCAAGTTTGGTTAGATCCGTTAAAATTCAAACCTGAACGGTTTCTTACTACTCATAAAAATGTTGATGTTAAGGGTCATCATTTTGAATTAATACCATTCGGATGTGGTAGAAGGATTTGTCCTGGAATGTCATATGCCCATCAAATGGTGCATTTAACTTTAGCTAGTTTTTTGCATTCCTTTGAAATCTTAAAACCATCAAATGAGCCTATTGATATGACCGAATGTTTTGGAATAACCAATACCAAAGCAAATCCGCTTGAGATTCTCATTAAACCATGCTTGTCTTCAAATTGTTATGAAATTATGTGATCTTTGTATTAGTTTTATTATCTATTGTAATGTTGTTGTATTTCTTTAATTTGGTTAAATTTCAATACGAAGATTGAGAAGATCACATGGTGTACGATGTATTTATATATTATTTCTTGATGCTTATTTATTGATGTGTGCCTTGAACTAGAGGAGATGATGATCGGTGTGCGTTAGATAGTATAATTTTTGTTCAGTCGAAATGTCAAAGGACATAAGGTGTATGTCGAAATATGTATAGGTTTTAAGTTGTATTCGACAGAGTCGAATACAACAACTATAATAGTGTCGTGAAAACATGTTTTTGGGCTATAGCATGTAGTTAGTCGAATTGGGTCTAAACATTGTATGGCTATATAAAGGACTTGTTAGTTTGTAAGTTTACACAGTCAATGCAATCACAATCACGTTTACAATTAACTTAGAATCGTAGCAAACTTTCAATCTCTCTTTCTATTTTCTTCTTCTTCTTCCTCTTTCATAAATCATCTTTCTTGAAAACCATTTGTTCTAACAAATTGGTATAACAGAGTTCGGTTGCAATTCAGAGAGAACCTAATAGAAAACAGAACAACAACGTCAACGCAGTTTCCAGCAAATCTACCAGTTTTCAAAGGAGAAAACTATCAACGGTGGATTGCGTAGATGAAGGGTATTTTTAGATTTCAAGATGTTGTTGAAATCTTGAATGATGGATTACCGGAACTAGAAGCAAATGCGACAGAGGCTCAGAAAACTGTGAACAAAGCTCAGAGGAAGAAAGATGGTAAAGCATTATTCTTGATTCATCAATGTGTGTCTGATGTATTTGAGAAGATAATTGAAGAAGAAACGAAAAAATGAGTGTGGTGTTAGATTATTTAATTCAGCATCAACCTTAGGGATTCGAAGGATTTAACATCCCACCATGACTCTTAGTATGGGCTAGGCGCAGCCCCTGAAAAGCTCATACTATATGGAAATAAAGTTGCGCCTTCACTATCAGCAATTGCTTTTAGTGTAACGGTAAGCGCTTGATCCTACAATTGACATCAGAATGCCTGGTTCTGAGTACAAGCACTTAACCGTGTCAGAAAAAGATTCAAGCAAGAAGAACATTATGGTGGAACCAAGTCAGAACATCAGCAATGACTATCATGATGAGAAAGACAGAATCATCAACAAACCTCCAATTTTTTATGGTGAGAACTTCGATTACTGGAAATATAAAATCGAAAGTTTCTTTCTAGCGCATGACGCTGATCTTTGGGATATGGTGACTGATGGGAACATGCATCCTATTGATGAAAGTGTTCAAAAGATTGACAGAAAAATAATGACAAATCATCAAAACAGAGATTTCAGAAATCATCACAAAGCTAGAACTATTCTCTTGAGTGTTATCTCATACACAGAGTATGAGAAGATCACAAATAGAGAATCAGCAAAACACATGTTTGACTCCTTGAGAATGACGTATGAAGGAAACACGTAAGTCAAAGAAACCAAAGCTCTTGCGCTCATTCAAAAGTATGAAGCCTTCAAAATGGAAGAAGATGAAACCATTGAAACAATGTTCTCAAGGTTTTAAATTCTGGTGGCTGGGTTAAAAGTTCTGGATAAAGGGTACTCAACTGCTGACCATGTAAAGAAGATCATCAGAAGTTTACTCAAGAAATGGAGACCCATGGTCACAACTCTTAAACTGGCCAAAGATCTGAACAAAATCTCTCTCTAAGAACTTGTCAGCTCTTTGAGAAGTCATGAGATAGAGTTAGAAGAAGATGATCCCCAGAAGCAAGGTAAGTCTTTAACTCTTAAATCTAACAAAAAATATGAATCGAAAGTTTTCCAGGAAAAAGAAGAAAACTCTGGTGGATCCTCATCAGAAGAAGACGAACTGTCTCTTCTCTCCAGAGGAGTCAATCGGCTGTGGAAGCACAGGCAAAGGAAGTTCAGAAATTCCAGAAGAACAGGAAATCATTTTGAACCATCTTCTGGATACAGAAAGTCAAGTAACAAAGACATTATATGCTATGAATGCAATGAACAAGAGCACTACAAAAGCAACGATCCAAATCTTCAAAAATATAAACCTAAAGAGAAGTTCTTTAAGAAAAAGAAGAAAAGCCTCATGGCAACATGGGATGACTTAGACTCTTCTGAAGCTGAAACAAAATCAGAAGATGAAAGAGCTAACATAGCCCTAATGGCCAATATATCAGAATACACTGGATCATCTGGATCAGAATCAGACTCAGAGGCAGAAGAGGTATTCTCTAAATTTTCTAGATCTCAATTAGAAGAGAGTCAGCCATAAATTCTTGAAAGATATCAGAAACTTCGGGTCATAAACAAGAACTTGAAAAAGGATCTAGTTTCTGACTCTGAAGAAACTAAGAAACTGAGATCAGAAAACTCTGAGCTGAAAAACAATTTCTAAACTAAAAAATAATTTACAAAATTCTCAGAAAGAAATTGTCTCAGAAGTTCCTAGTGACTCTGATATGATCATAAAATAATATGATCATAGCTTTCAAAAATTTCTTGCTAAAAACATAGATAGAAGCAAGATGGCTTCAATGATCTATGGAGTTAGCAAAAATGGCTGAAAAGGAATAGGATACAAGGGAAAAGTATCTCAACCTAAGAAAGTTAAGGATATGGTCATTAAATGCACACCTTTATATTCTCACTTCACCTATGGGCACACACATGACATAAAGTATACTAGTAATGCTTTTTCTGCTAAACCAAAATTCAAACAAAATTTTGGTAACTCTAACAAACAAGGACCCAAAAAGATATGGGTACCTAAGGATAAAATTGTCTATGTTGCAGACATCTTTAACAACAAGACTAAAACACCAATCTTGGTACCTAGACTCTGGATGCTCTTGACACATGACGGGAAGAAAGCATATGTTCCAAAGCCTGGAGCTTAAATGTGGAGGCTACGTAGGTTTCAGAGGCAATCAGAAAGGGAAAATTATAGGCTTTGGAACTATTGGTAATGGTACGCTTCCCTCTATAACTAATGTTTTGTTAGTAGGTAGATTAATGCATAACTTGTTATCCATAAGTCAATTAAGTGATAACGGTTATGACATAATATTCAATCAAAAGTCATGTAAAGCAGTTAGTCAGAAAGATGGATTTGTCCTCTTTAATGGAAAGAGAAAGAATAATATTTACAAAATAAAACTTTATGAACTAAAAAGTCAGAATGTGAAATGCCTATTGTCTTTTAATGATGAGCAATGGGTCTGGCACAGAAGTTTGGGGCATGTTAGTATGAGAAGAATATCTCAGATTAACAAACTCAATCTGGTCAGAGGACTTCCTAACCTGAAGTTCAGCTCAGATGCTCTGTGTGAAGCATGTGAAAAAGGCAAGTTTGCAAAACCTTCTTTCAAAACAAAAAATGTTGTTTCTACCTCTAGACCATTAGAACTTCTGCATATAGATCCATTTGGACCAGTGAAAACTGCATCCATTAGTGGCAAGAAGTATGGGTTAGTGATCGTAGATGACTATAGCAGATGGACATGGGTAAAGTTCTTATGACACAAGGACGAGTCACATTCTGTGTTCTTTGCATTCTGTAACCAATTCCAAAATGAAAAGAATCTTAGAATTGTTAAAGTCAGAAGTGATCATGATGGAGAATTTGAAAACAAAAAATTTGAACTTATTTTTAATGAGAATGACATCTCTCATAATTTCTCTTGTCCTAGAACTCCTCAACAAAACATAGTTGTAGAATGAAAGAACAGAACTTTACAAGAAATAGCCAGAACCATGATCAACGAGACTAACATTGCTAAGAACTTCTGGGTAGAAGCAATTAACACAACGTGTTACATTCAGAATAGAATCTCCATAAGACCTATTCTGGATAAGACTCCATATGAACTTTGGAAGAACATAAATCCCAACATTTCTTATTTTTCATCCATTTGGATGTACTTGTTTTATTCTGAACACTAAAGAACATTTGAACAAGTTTGACTCTAAAGCACAAAAGTGTCTCATGTTAGGATACTCTGAATGCTTAAGAGGCTATAGAGTATATAACACAGAAACACGGATTGTAGAAGAGTCCATCAGTGTCAGATTTGATGATAAGCTTGGCTCTCAAAAGTTAAAGCAAGATAAATCTTTTGCATATATAGAAGTCCAATTTACAGGTACTGAAGAAATTGCATCAGAAGTTTATCACAAAGAATCACAGTCATCTCTAGAAGAAGATGTCACAAACATTACACCAACATCTGAAGAGCCTCTCCAGAAAAGACAATCTAGAAGCAGTTTAGCTCATCCGGAAAACAAATTGCTAGGAAAGAAAGAAGACCCAATCAAAACAAGATCTATATTCAGAAACTCTGAAGAATATCTCATGGGATTAGTGTCTCTAATTGAGCCAACATCCATTGACGAAGCTCTTCTGGAAAATGATTGGATACTTGCAATGAAGGAAGAATTAAACCAATTCACCAGAAACGATGTGTGGGATCTGGTTCCTAAACCAAAAGGGTTCAACATCATTGGAACCAAATGGGTATTCAGAAACAAACTGAATGAACAAGGAGAAGTCGTCAGAAATAAAGCATGGCTGGTGGCACAAGGTTATAGTCAGCAAGAGGGGATAAACTATACAGAAACCTTTGCTCTAGTCACTAGGTTAGAATATATCATACTTTTAATTTCTTTTGTTATAAATAATGGCATCACTCTTTATCAGATGGATGTTAAAAGTGCATTTTTAAATGGTTACATTGATGAATAAGTTTATGTGCATCAACCCCATGGTTTTGAAAATTCAAAACATCCAGAATATGTCTATAAACTAAAGAAATCACTATATGGTCTGAAACAAGCTCCCAGAGCTTGGTATGAAAGACTAAGTAGTTTTCAGTTAGAAAATAATTTTACCAGAGGGAAGGTGGACACTACTTTATTCTGTAAAGTATTTAAAAATGACATTCTAGTTTATCAGATTTACGTAGATGATATTATTT